ACACCCACACACTCAATGGTAATACATCCCTTAGAGCAATAGACAGACCATGGGACACCTGAGGACCAACATTCAAACTAAGGAAATGCAGGACAAACAGGAGTGCATAATTATGAGGGGCAAAGGAGGAGGGTTGCAGGGTAGGGAGGGGAGGAGACTGGGTTAAGGCTGGACATGGTGAATGGGGAATGAAACTAAATGTACACATGACGTTGAATGTAAAATAAGCTCTTAAAAAAAAAGAATTAAAAATATATTTATAATGGCTATTGCTACACAAAGTCAAAAGACAACTGGGGAAAATACTTTACAACTCATATTATAGATTTTAGATAATTAATCTATGAAGAGTTTGTACATATCATTAAGAAAAACACATCCTAAAGAAAAATGCTACAAACATGGTGCAGTGTAGTAAATTACTTAGTATGGCTTTTCTACCCATAAGTCATTGTAAACTCAGTGGTGGAATGAGCAACTGAGGAGCTGATTGTAAATGTTATCCAAGTGGAGTATTTCTGTTGGGCATGGCACAATACAATGTTCTGGGAGGTGCCCACTCTCTCTCAGGTGCTTAGAGTTCTGATGCTATGATTGGCTAGTTTGACCACCCTGCCGGGCTCAAAAGGAGGCCTCCTAGAGGCAGAACTCTCTCTCTGACTGCTGGTTGAGGAAGATGTGATGCCGAAAGAGACACGCGCCCCTGAAAGAGACAGGCGTTGCTGGGAAAGAGATGCAAGAGACACGCATCGCTGAGTGAGACACCGAGGGACCAGCACTGCTGGGAAAGAGACTGTGAGAGACTCCTGGCCAAGGGACGGTGGGCTGGGAGAGAGACTGAGCATTTTTCTTGAACTTGAGTTGTAGCTTGGTGCTTCCCTAATAAACCTTGTAATCTGTGAGTTCTGTGTGGCCACTGCAGCGAATTACGAACCCAGGAGAGAGGTGGTGGGTGCTCTGGGAGGAACGGTTGAAGAAAGGGCTGGAGGAAGGCAACATGTCTGGCCTGGCAGGAATAGGCCTTGGGTTACTGCTGGTAATCCTGTCTTCCCCTTGTGGGATTAGAGAAGGTCAGAACATGTGGCCTCCTTGTCGTTTTTGCACATGGATATATGAGTGGATAGATGGGTGGACAGGCTGAACTATTAGGTATGTCTGTGCAAGTGGGAGTGTGCCCAAGACCATATATAGTGTTGGTAGACAATGTTTCTGTAAGTGTACTAGTATGTTCTATAAGAATTCCCAGGTATATAGTAGAGCTGACAAGGGACAAGGTTATAGCCACTTCTTGGCCACAGCCAGCTACCCAGAAGGAGTGAGTAGTTGGACTTGTGGGCTCAGGACCATAGTCACAGGGGACATCAAGCTCAATTGGCATAACACACTACACAAAACACTTGTTCTACATCCTACTTTGGCGAGTAGCGACTAGGATCTTAAAAGCTTGCGAGTGGCCATTTAGATGCAATGATGAGTCTCTCCTTGTCCAGAGCAAAGAAATATGAAGAAAACCAAAGATTCATGGAAACAATTAGTCCAAGCAACTGGTACACCATGTGGTTCTCAGCCTATAGGACTATGAGACCAGAAGAACTAGATAGTGCCTAACTATCACTAACAACAACTCTGAGGGAGATCTATGTAGGAGATCCTGGACAGAGTGGGAGAATAATGTGGAACAAAACTCAAAATCATTTAAAAAAAAAAAAAAGGGACCAGGTTTGCTGGTCTGATATAGCCTGATGGAACCCCTTGGAGTATGGCCCCTAGCTGCCATTCAGGTCTGGAATTGAACTCACTCCTGTGACTTCCAGCCAAACAAAAGACAGGCATATGAGCTGAACATTTGTATTAGGTAGATGCACTCCTTGGAGAGATCAATCACTGGCGAACAGAAGGGCTGCATATGCACAGGGAAACAGCTTGGGGTACAGGAATGCATGGGAGGGAAGGACACAGGAAAGAGGTAACAATGGGGAGGAAGTGGGGGGGGAACTATTGCATTGTGGGAAATACTAATCAATGTCACGAGACAAAGTATATGTGAGCTGCTGTATGGAAAGTGAATTTGCTCTGTAAACTTACCCAAATCACAATTAAGAAAAAAAAAGATTTACATGGGGGGAAAACATGCTACATAGAGGTCAAAGACACCCATGAAGGGAGTAAAGATAAAAATAAAGCTCAACATTTTCAACACCTCATTCATTTTTATATCATTCACATCTCTACAAAGTAATTTGAAACATTAGAAAAACTGAACATCCATAAAAGTATCCATCAATTTCTTCAGGCAATCTATTTGTAAAGGCTCATGTGATTTACTTAAGAATAACCTCCCCTATGTTGAGCTCTTATCACATGAATTTTTGCTCAAAAATATTACTTATATTTGCACTCCTATCTAGTGTATATATAGTACACATGTATAGTGAGGCTGTAGATTAGTTATGAGGAAATCCTTGCACTGGGACACAGAATTCAACCTCACATTAAAACTCATTAACACTCCTCTGTCAGTTTGTCATACTGTGGTGGCTTGCATGTTGCTATGAGACTAAAGGTTATGGTACAGGTGTTTCAAATACCAGAAGGATCACCTATCATGGACAGGTTTCAGTGGAGCTTCCTGACTAAGACAGACTGGGAAGAAGGATGAGGCCATCCAATTGTGAAAAAATTGGCCAGTGAAAATCTTCGAATAGCAGTGAAACACTGTCTCATATGTTACTGGAAAACTTTATGAATAGCCCTGAAACACTGTCTGATACAGTGCTGGAAGATGAACCCCTCAGTTAGAAGGCACTCAAAATGCAACTGGAGAAGAGGTGCCTCCTCAAAGTAGAATCGACCTTAACGACATGTATGGAGTAAAGCTTTTGGGACCTTCATTTGTTGAAGAGGCATGACTCAATTTGGGAAGAAACAGCTGCAAACATCCATTAATAACTGGAATGTGAAATGTACAAAGTATGAATGTGGGAAAATTGGAAGCTGTCAAAAATGAAATGAAACACATAAAGATTGATATCGTAGGCATTATGAGCTAAAATGGACAGGTATTGGCCATTTTGAATCAGATAATCATATGGTTTACTATGCCAGGAATGACAAATTGAAGATGAATAGTGTTGCATTCATCATCAAAAAAGAAAGTTTCAAGATCTATCCTAAAGTACAATGCTGTCAATGATAGAGTAACATCCGTATGCCTACAAGGAAGACTACTATTTTAATTTACGTACCAACCACTAAAGCCAAAGATGAAGAAATTGAAGATTTTTACCAAGTTCTACAGTCTGAAATTGACCAAACATGCAATCAAGATGTATTGATTATTACTGGTGATTGGAATGTGAAAGTTGGAAACAAATAAGAAGTACCAGTAATTGGAAAATACAACCTTAGTGACAGAATTAAGGCTGAAGATTACATGATAGAATTTTGTAAGAACAATGACTTATTTGTTGCAAATACCTTTTTTTCAACAACGTAAACAGTGGCTATACATATGGATCCTGCCAGATGGAATACACAGGAATCAAATTGACTACATCTGAGGAAAGAGGCAATGGAGAAACTCAGTATCTTCAGTCACAACAAGGCCAGGAGCTGACTGTGGAACAGACCATCAACTGCTCATATCCAAGTGCAAGTTGAAGCTGAAGACAATTAAAACAAGTCCATGTGAGCCAATATACAATCTTGATTATATACCACCTGAATTTAGACACCATCTGAAGAATAGCTTTGATGCACTGAACACTAATGCCCGAAGACCAGACGAGTTGTAAGATAACATCAAGAACATCATACATGAAGAAAACAAAAGGTCATTAAGACAGGAAAAGAAGAAAAGACCAAAATGGACTCTGAAACTTGCTCTTGAATGGAGAGTAGTCAAAGTGAATGGACAAATAAGCAACATCACAATAAATGGAGAAAAGACTGAACTGTCAGGAGTTTCATTTTACTTGGATCCATAATCAACAGCCATGGAAGCAGCAGTCAAGAAATCGATGTGGCACTGCACTGGGAAAATCTGTTACAAAAGACCTTTTTAAAGTGTTAAGAAGTAAAGATGTCATTTTGAAGACTAAGGTGCACCTAACCTAAGTCATAGTATTTTCAATAGCCTCATACACATGTGAAAGCTAGACAATAAATAAGGAAGACTGAAGGGCTGATGTCTTTGAATTGTGGTGTTGGCAAAGAATACTGAAAATACCATGGATTGTCAGAAAAACAAATAAACCTGTCCTCGAAGAAATGTAGCTGGAATGCTCCTTAGAAGTAAGAATGTCCAGACTTCATCTCACCTACTATGGTCATATGGTCAAAAGGGATCATTCCTTGGAGAATGATATCATGCTTGGTAAAGTAGAGGGTCAGTGAAAAAGGGGAAGACTCTCAATGAGATGGACTGACACAATGTCTACAGTGATGAGCTCAAACATAGCAAGAATTATGAAGATGGTGCAGGACCGGGCAGTGTTTCGTTCTGTTGTACACAGGGCTGCTATGAGTCGGAGTCAACTTAATGACACCTAACAATAACAGCAACTTTAGAACTCAGTAATGTTATGTATTAGACTTAATCTATAGACTGGCTTCATCACCTAACCCTTACATACCATACTTTTTCTTATAAACAAAATATAAGGGTTAGGAAGAAGATGGAAAAGACATCCAAAGGCAAAGAGCTGGATGAGAGAGAAAATGATCATAACTTCTAACTATTGTCAATAACAAAGGCAGAACATCTCATTTAAGTCACAGTGATTATCTTTTGACCATAACATTGTAAATAAAAACCTAAGTTAAAAGTTTATTCCTTAATAATATTACCATATGGTCTTTTAGCCCTAAAATACTTAAAGGAAAACAGACATAAAGAAAACATAAAACTTTGGTTTCCAAAATGCTTTTGGGAGCTGGGGCAGGCACTTCTGCTCACTCTTAATAATTTCTACTTCAAACTATTTGGGAATGAAACTCACATAACTGGCTGTTGTACAGTCTCTTCCACATATGGAGTAAAACTGGGAAGCATAGAGGGTACAGCTGCCACAGAAGCTGTATTGCCACGAGGCTGTGATAAAGAAGAAAACTACAATTACCACAATTTTACATTCTGAATATATAGGCCATGTCTAAATATTCAAGAAGAATCCAAAAAGATGCTAAAAATACTCCTCTCCTCTAAATCTGAAGTTTGGATATGCTGACAAGCACACTGGATCTAATAAGGTTCCTTACCCTGGATTCCAAGGGCCTGCCCGTGTTCCAAGGGCCTGCTTGCAGCTCATTCTCTTTCGCTCTGGGCACAGGGGGTGCTACCCATGGCTGGACTGTAGGCTTAGACAACTCTGTTCTAGAAGCCACATCAACATTTTCATCAAAAACAGTAATTCTAGAATTACTTAGCATCTGTTGAGGAATTGGATTTTGGAGTCCTCTGTTCTGGTTTGAAGCTAGGAGAGAGAAATTTAAACTTCATATAAAACCTTTAATTATCAATTTAGATACCAGATAAGTTATATCTATTCTTTCCTACATCAAGGTGACCAATTCTACTACTATAGAATCAAAGACAATTTAAGAGACAATTTTTAAAAATATATTAATGGATCAATCAGCAAACGTTTTACCCTTTCTGTGTTTATTACTTACACTTTCTCACTACCTTTCCTTCCTCTCCCCCTCCTTCCAATTTCTCATTCAGATTTCCAAAAATTTTTCATTCAGATTTCCATCTTCCTTCGGTCAACATTCTAACGCTGTCCAGTTTTATCAGAAACCAACCTAATTGAAATCTTCAATCTCCAGTTTTAAATTTTCTTTCAGTGGAGCTGGAAGTCAGTTGAGACACACTGAACTTATAGCACACAAGTCAACCCATTTACAAGAGGTGTTCTCTAGTTGTTTCACATGATCTGGATAAAGTATCCTTTAAAATATACACCCTGTATATGCCCCAATTCCAGGATCTCAAGCAACATTCTGGTTAATAAATTTAGTTCCCAGATAAACTAATAGAAGAAAAGGGACAGGAGACAAAAAGTATGTCTAACTGCTACAAATTTAGTTAATAAAAGAATATTGAGCATCTTTGGGTATACCGAGAGTTCAATTTTTGGCCAAAATGCTCAAGGTTTGCACCTAAATCACAATAAAAAATTTAAGAAAAAAAAAAAAAGATGAGATTTTTAACCAAGTTAGTATCATTCTCAGCACTAAACTGCCCGGTCCTGCGCTGTTCTGGTTACCTAGTGCTGCTCTGACAAGAATATACCACAAATGGGATGGCCTTAACAAACAGGAGTTTATTCTTACAATTTGGAGGCTTTAAGTCCAAGTTCAAAGTGCCAGGCTCTAAAGGGGTGGGTGAAAGCCCCTCAACCTTGGGGTCCAGCTCTGCCTCCTGCTCCCAGCCCACTGGAGCTAGAGGCGTTTCTACACTCAGATAGCTGCTGGCTGCTGAGGCTGACAAACCCAAGGATGACAAGTAAAAAGTGTTACCAAAACACAGAGCAGGCTGTTAATTCAAGTTCATTATAAGTCCCAAGGTCGGCAGAGCATGGCAGACTGCTGAACAATGACATGGCTACATACAGGGTCCAAGCATGCCATATGCTAGAGACCATTCCCAAGGCTTCTCCTTATATACAGGAAGCAGACCACTTCCCAAAGGCAGCTACTCAGCTGCTTGTGGTAGATCCCACCATGGAGTTGATTCCAAGTCTCATCATGGGGAATAACTACCACCAGCTGCCCAGCCTCTCAACCAGGCCCAGCCAAGTTGACACACAAACATCACTACCACATGCGCCATCCACATAATCCTTGCTATATTAGAGTCCACTGCTGCAGACAGTGTCAATCCATCTCACTGAGGTTATCCTTTTTTTTTTTTTTGCTAACTCTTTACTTTACCAGGGAGCTCTGGTGGCCCAGTGCCTAAGGCATTTGACTGCTAACAAGAAGGCTGGTGGTTCAAACCCACCAGCCACCCCTCAGAAGGAAAAATGGGCAATCTACTTCCAGAGTGATACCGCCTCGGAAACCCAAGGAGGGGTCGCTATGAGTCAGATCTGACTCAATGGCAGTGAATTCGTTTTTTTTTACTTTACTAAGAATGTTGTCATTCTCTAGGGGCTGGTCCCTCCTGCTTACATCTCTAAAGTACATAAGATGAAGTCTCACCACCCTCCCTTCTAAGGGGCATTCTGGCTGCACGTCCAAGACAGATTTGTTTGTCCTTCTGGTAGTCCATGGTATATTCAATATTCACCAATATCACAATTCAAAGGCATCAATTCTTCTTCAATCTTCCTTATTCATTATCTAGCTTTCGTATGCATATGAGGCATACAAAAGATCATGGCTTGGGTCAGGAGCAACTTAGACCTCAAGGTGACATCCTTGCTTTTTAAATACATTATGGAACTCTGGTAGCACAGTGCCTAAGGCATTTGACTACTAACCAAAAGGCTGGTGGTTCCAGCCACTCTTTGGAAGGAAGGTTGGGCAATCTACTTCAGTAGTGATACCGCCTCGGAAACCCAAGGAGGGGTCAATATGAGTCGGGTCCAACTTGACAGCACTGAGCTTTGAGTTAGAGGTCTTTTGCAGCAGATGTGCTCAATGCAATATGTTATTTGATTTCTTGACCGCTACTTTCATGAGTGTTGACTGTGGATCCAAGTAAAATAAAATCTTTGAAAACTTCCATATTTTTTCCATTTATGAAGACACTGCTCATTCAACTAACAATGCCTAAACTCAGAAAATTTTGAAACTTCCTAAATATCAGGATTTTTCTAAATTAACATACAGTATTGTTAACACATTTTGGCTTTACTGCGTACTGTGATCCCAGCTCTCCTTAGACTTCCTTCTTTTTTATTACCTAGTACTTAGAAAACTAAGACAATGCCCACATTACATATTTATGGATTATCTCCTCACTAACTTGTTCACCACTTGAGACTAAGAATTTCCAGTGACATTTAACAAACTTACCCTTGAGAGCACCTCCCACACGGCTGATTGGAGCTCTTGCTGTCTTTTTCCCTTTGCACTTTAGATCAGCTAGTGTGCTTCGCTGTGGTACAGAAGAGCCAAAACTCTCTTCCTCTTCTTCTTCCTCAAGTGCCAACAAAGTTTGTCGAGATACTCGGGCTTGGAATTGTCTAAAGAAAGAGAATGGACAATTAACTGTTGGTGAGATGATTCAGAATTTCAGACAAGGGGGAAGAAGTATAGAAATATGCCTAAAGAAAGTTTATATTCTCTCAGGAATAAAGAAAGCCACCTTGAGATCAAAGAAGGTTCTGGCTAGAATGATTTAACTCCCCCTTTAAATATCCAAGGAACCCTGGTGGCACAGTGGCTAAGAACTTGGCTGCTAACCAATAGGTCAGTGGTTTGAACCTACCAACCGCTCTACAGGAGAAAGATATGGCAGTCTGTTTCTGTAAAGATTATGGCCTTGGAAACCTTGTGGAGAATTTCTACTCTGTCCTATAGGGCTGCTATGAATTAGAATGGACTTGATAATAATAGGTTTTTTAATTTTTAAATGTCCAAATTTGATTTAATAAAATACATTGAGTTTTACCACTAGGCTGATGTAAGGACTGGATTAGGGTAACTAGTTCTAAGACTACAGAATTTAATTGAGATCAGAGTTTTTCCCATCAACTTTTTATTATAAGACATTTTAAACTTCCAGCATGAAGATGGAGTAGGCCCACTACTGTCGTCCACACTCCCACTGGTAAGAATTAAAAACTCTAGAAAAATTAAAAAAAAAAAAAAAAAAAAACTAAGTAAGGACTCTGAAAAGTAAACAAAAGCAGGTGGACTATGGAGAGGAGTCAAAGAAGCAACTCACATAGGGTTGGGTTTCCTGTTGTTTTTTTTTTTCCTCTCGCTCTCTCTTGTCTCTCATGGTTTTGAACTGTTGCAATGCTGGTATGGGAAGCTACAACTCCTAAAGAAATCTCATTTTTCTGGCCAAAGGATGGTAAAAGGGACTCTGAAGGCCAAAGAGTGTGGGAAAAGTACTACAGAGGAATGAGCTGAAGAAGGGAATCTGCTCATTCTAGGTAGGAAATGGCACAAGTCCTGGGCTCACTTCTGAGCTATGCAAACACAGGGCACATTCAGAGCAGCATAAAAAGGCTTTGAGAGCTGAACTATAAAATAAACCAGTGTCCATGTCTCAGATTAACTTCTCATTGGTACATACATGGGACAGACCCAAAGCAGAAATGTGAAAGTCTTGAAAACTGAACCAAGACTGGAACCACTACCTACATAAGGTAAAAAAGAACTTGTTATATCTGAAGCCTGGCTGCCCACTAAAATAAAATAATAACATCAGTATTTTCCAAAGAATATCAATGAGACTCAATCTCATAGCATAATATTAAAACTGTCCAGGACACAATATAAAATTACTTGACACACAAAGAACTAAGAAAATGTGACCAATTCTCAAAGAAAAAGATGATGATGATGAACAGTTGTCAACCTCAAGATGATTCCAGTACTGAAATTTTCAGGCAGATTTTAAAGCAGCTATTATTAACTATTATAATTAAGAAAACTTAATTGTGGTCATGAGGAACCTGTACATAGACCAAGAGGCAATTGTTTAAACAGAACAAAGGGATACTTCATGGTTTAAAATCAGGATGGCTGTCAGAGCTGTACCCTTTCACCATACTTATTCAATCTATATGCTGAGCAAATAATCCAATAAGCAGGACTATCTGAAGAAGGACATGGCATCTAGGATTGGAGGAAGATTCATTAACAGGGGATATGCAGATGACTCAACTCTGTTTTCTAAAAGTGAAGAAAACTTGAAACACTTACTGATGAAGATCAAAGACTACAGTCTTTAGTAGGGAGTTACACCTGAACATGAAGAAAACAAAAATCCTCACAACTGGACCAATAAGCAACACCACGATAAATGGAGAAAAGACTGAAGTTGTTAAGGATTTCATTTTACTTTGGTCCACAACCAATACCTATGGAAGCAACAGTCAAGAAATACGGTGTATGCATTGGGCAAATCTGCTGAAAAAGACCTTGTTAAAGTATTAAAGAGCAAAGATATCACTTTTGAAGACTGAGGTGTGCCTGATTCATGGTATTTTCAATAGCTTCATATGCATATGAAAGCTGGACAATGAATAAGTAAGACCACAGAAGAAATGATGGATTTTAATTGTGATGTTGGTGAGGAATACCGAATGTACCATGGACTGCTAGAACTAACAAATCTATCCTGGAGGAAGTACAGTAGGAAGACTCCTTAGAAACAAGGATGGTGAGACTTCGCCTCTTATACTCTGGGCTTGTTACAAGCAGGAACCAGTCCCTGGAGAAGGACATCATGCTTGATAAAGTAGATGGTCAGTGAAAAAGAGGAAGACCCTCAGTGAGATAGACTGACACAGTGGCTGCAACAATGGGCTCAAGCACAGCAACAATTGTGAGGATGGTGCAGGACTAGGCAGTGTTTTATTCTGCTGTACGTGAGGTCACTATGAGTCAAAATTGACTTGATGACAACTAACAACAACAGGCTTAAAAAAGCCTATTCAAGAACCAACCTTACTAACACCAAGAAAAAAAGAGCTGAGTAGAGTGCATCCTTTGGACCTGGGGTCCCTGTACCGAGAACCTCCTAGATCAAGAAGGCATAGAGAGACAGCTGAAACATCAGAGACAGCGAGAGATGGCAAGAAGCAGCAGCAGAGAAATGGTAGCAGCAGAACCAGGAGACCAGCACAAGATGGCGTGCTGGGCTTCCTGGCCCACAGACCAAAGTGGCTATAATGGATATGCTGAACCACAGAGCAAGATAGCTGAGAGTCTTCTGGCAGGAGGCTTCCTGGCTAAGTAGACTGTCTTCAGGTACTTATCAGCAAAGCTGAAGAGCTTCTTAACACTTGCCTAAGCAGAAAACAGGCCAGGCCTGAGCTGAGCCAAGGTCCAAGAGAAGAGGCATGCCCTGAGGAGACCAAGAGGAGCTGACAGCTACTCTGTACTGAAGAAGGGACACTTTGCCTATATACTTCCTGATCCTGATTCAGAGTTGTAACCTGTTACTTCGCTAATAAACCCGGTAATCGGAGTACTACCTTTGAATTCTGTGTGACCACTGCAGTGAATTGCAGTGAAATGTAGGAAGTATGAATCTAGGAAAATTGGAAGTTGTCAAAAATGAAATGAAACATGTAAAGATTGATATCCTAGGCATTAGTGAGCTGAAATGGACTGGTTTTGGCCATCTTGAATCAGACAACCATATGATCTACTATGCTGGGAATGACAAATTGAAGAGGAATGGCGTGGCATTAATAGTCACAAAGGCTGTTTCAAGATCTGTCCTGAAGTACAATGCTCTCGGTGATAGGATAATATCCATTCGTCTACAAGGAAGACCCATTATTACTACTATTATTCAAATTTATGCACCAACCACCAATGTGAAAGATGAGGAAATTAAAGATTTTTATCAATTTCCACAATCTTAAATTGACCAAACATGCAATCAAGATGTGTTGCTTATCACTGGTGATTGGAATGCAAAAGTTGGAAACAAAGAAGAATTACCAGTTGCTGGAAAATTTGGCCATGGTGACAGAAATAATGCTGGAGATCCCATGATAGAATTTGCAAGACCAATGACATTCATTGCAAATACCTTTTATCAACAATACAAATGGCACTATACACGTGGACTTTGCCAGATGGAGTACACAGGAATCAGATTGACTACATCTATGGCAAGAGGCAATGGAAAAGCTCAATATCTTCAGCCAAAACAAGGCCAGGAGCTGATTGTGGAACAGACCATCAACTGCTCATATGCAAGTTCAACTTGAAGTAGAAGACAATTAAAACAAGTCCACTAGAGCCAAAATATAACCTTGGATACATCTCTCCTGAATTTAAAGACCATCTAAAGAATAGATTTGATGCATTGAACACCAATGACTGAAAACCAGAAGAATTACAGGATGACATCAAGAGTACCGTCCATGAAGAAAGCAAGAGGACATTGAAAAGATGAGAAAGAAAGAAAAGACTAAAATGGATGCCAGAAGAGACTCTGAAACTTGCCCTTGAACGGAGAGTAGCTAAAACAAATGGAAGAAATGACAAGATAAAAGAGCTGAACAAAGGATTTCAAAGAGCAGTTTGAGCAGACAAAGCCAATTACTATCATGAAATGTGCAAAGACCTGGAGTTAGAAAACCAAAAAGGAAGGACACGCTTGGCATTTCTCAAGCTGAAAGAACTGAGGAAACAATTTAAGCCTCAAGTTGCAATACTGAAAGATTATATGGGCAAAATAGTGAATGATGCAGGAAGCATCAAAAGAAGACGGAAGGAATACAGGGTCACTTACCAAAAAGAACTAGTCGATCTTCATCTATTTCAGGAGGTGGCATATGTTCAAGAACCAATAGTATTGAAGGACGAAGTCGAAGGTGCACTGCAAGAATTGGCGAAGAACAAGGCTCCAGGAATTGATGGAATACCCACTGAGATGTTTCAACAAACGGATGCCCCGCTGGAGGCACTTACTCAGTTATGCCAAGAGATTTGGAAGACAGCTGCCTGGCCAACTGACTGGAAGACATCCATGTTTGTACCCATTCCAAAGAAAGGTGATCCCACAGAATGTGGAAATTATCAAACAATATCATTAATATTTCATGCAACTAAAATTTTACTGAAGATAATTCAAAAACAGTTGTAGCAGTATATTGACAGAGAACTTCCAGAAATACAAGCTGATTTCAGAAGAGGACGTGGAACGAAGGATATCATTGCTGATGTCAGACGGATCTTGGTTCAAAGCAAAGACTCCCAGAAAGATGTTTTTTGACTATGCAAAAGCATTTGATTGTGTGGATCATAACAAACTGTGGATAATATTGAGAAGAATGGGAATTCCCCAACACTTAATTGTACTCATAAGGAACCTGTACGTAGATCAGGAGGCTATTGTTCAATCAGAAAAAGGGAACACTACATGGTTTAAAATCAAGAAGGGAGTGTGTCAGGATTGTATCCTTTCACCATACTTATTCAATTTATATGTTGAGCAAATAATCTGAGAAGCTGGACTATATGAAGAAGAATGTGGCATCAGGATTGGAGAAAGAATCATTATTAACAACCTGCGATACACTGACGACACAACTTTGCTTGCTGAAAGTGAGGATGACTTGAAGTACTTACTGATGAAGATCGAAGAATACAGTATGCAGTATGGATTACATCTCAATATAAAGAAAACAAAAATCCTCACAATTGGACCTATAAGCAACATTACTATAAATGGAGAAAAGATTGAAATTGTCAAAGATTTCACATTGCTTGGTTCTACAATCGACACCAATGGAAGCGGCAATCAGGACATCAAACGACGTATACCACTGGGCAAATCAGCTGCAAAGGACCTCTTTCAAGTGCTGAAGAGCAAAGATGTCTCCTTGAGGACTAAGGTGCACCTGACACAAGCCATGATATTTTCAATTGCCTTATATGCATGTGAGAGCTGAACAATTAATAAGAAGGACCAAAGAAGAGTTGATGCTTTTGAGCAGTGGTGTTGGCAAAGAATGCTGAAAGTACCATGGACTGCTAAAAGAACTAACAGGTCTGACCTGGAGGAAGTGCAGCCAAAATGCTCCCTGGAGGCGAGAATGGCCAGACTTTGTCTCACATACTTTGGTCATGCTGTCAGAAAGGACCATTCCCTGCAGAAGGATGTCATGCTTGGTAAGGTGGAGGGTCGATGAAAGAGGGGAAGGCCCTCAACGAGATGGACTGACACAGTGGCAGCAGTGATGGGCTCAAGTATAGCAAGAATCATGGAGCTGGCTCAGGACCACGCAGTGTTTCATTGTGCTGTGCACAGAGTCACAATGAGTCAGAGACGACTCGATGGCACCTAACAACAATAACAACAACTGCAGTGAATTAATTATTGAACCCATAGAAATGTAGAGTGCTGTGGGAGGGACAGATGGTGTCACAATTGGTAAAAAGGTCGGAGACAGGAGGTATCTGACCTCTACCTCATAGGAATCAGTCTTGGGTTGACGCTGACTTTGATTCTCTCTCTTCCCCCTTGTGAAGTTAGATGACGAGGTATGAAGCTGCTGTGCCATTATTATACCTAACTTATACAAACATTAGGAGCTCTGGTAGCATAGTGCCTAAGGCACTTGACTGCTAACCAGAAGGCTGGCGGTTCAAACCCACCAGCAACTCCTCGGAAGGAAGATTGGGCAATCTACTTCCGTAGTGATGCTGCCTTGGCAACCCAAGGAGAGGTCACTATGAGTCGGGTCTGACTTGATGACACATAAAAACAACAACAACAACAAATACAAACATTAACTCAAAATGGATCACAGATCTAAATATAAAACAATAAAACTTCAAGATGATAAAAGAGAAGAGAAAATCTCTGCGACCTTCAGTTAGACAAAGATTTCTCAGATATAATACCAAAAGCACAATTCATAAAGAAATAATTGATAAATTAGACTTCTTCAAAATTAAAAACTTTTGTTCTATAAAAGACCCTGTTGAGAATGAAAAGATAAGTCATAGAGTAGAAGAAAATATTCCCAAAAAACATACCTGAAAAATGTATTCAGAATACATATATAGATATACAGATAGATAGATAGATCTATCTATATGAAACTCTTATAAGTCAATACCAAGACAAACCCAATAATTAAAAAAAAGGGAAAAATGATTTGAAGAGACTTCACCAAAGAAGAAACAGAGGTGGCAAATAAGCCCATGAAAAGACACTCAACATCATTAATTATTAAAGAAAGCAAATTAAAACTGAAACAAGGTATCATTATACACCTATTAGAATGACTTAAAAAAAAAAGATAACAATAGCAAAGCTGGCAAAACCAATGGCAATTGTTCTCATACATTGCTGGTGGGAATGCAAAATGGCATAACAACTCTGAAAAACAGCCTGGCAGTTTCTTATACACACACACTTAGCATATAAACTAGTAATCCCACTCCTATGTCTTTACCCAGGAGGAAAAAAAAACTATGTTCTCACAAAATTCCGTACATGAATTTTTATAGTGGTTTGATTACTAATTGCTAAAACTTATAAATTCATGAACAGATAAAAAAACTGTGGCATTTCCATCCAATGAAATATTACCTGCCAATCAAAAGGAACAAACTACTGATACAAACTAGTGATGACTGAACCTGAAATACATTATGTGAACTCAACTCAAAAGACTGCTTACCATATGATTCCACTTAAGTTATTTTCTGGGAAAGATAAAACTAAAGGGTTGGAAAACAGGCCAGTAGTTGCCAGGGTTTAGCAGTGAGAGTAGGTGCTCACCACAAAAGAATAGTAGGAGAAACTTCTTTTAGACAGAGATGAAACTATTTCACATCTTGATCATGGTGACTACCTGCTCGATTCATTCATCCAAACTCATAAAACTATATACCAAAGGTATTGAGGAAGAGGAAGACACAGAGAAGTACATGGGAGTACAGACAACAAAGATGAACACTTTTGCACATACAGTACTGTGTTGTCAGTGATGGCAAACATTGATATACAGGTGGATGGATAGATGGGTGAGCAGATTGAGCAATTAGATATGTCTATGTAGGTGGGAGTGTGCCCATGACCATGTACAGGGTTAAGCAGACAATGTTTCTACAAATGTATTTGTATGTTCTATAAGAATTTCCAGGTATACAGTCAAGCTGACAAGGGACAAGATTGTAGTAGTCACTTCTTGGCCACAGCCAGCTACCCGGAAGGACCCAGTAGTTGGATCTGTGGGCTTGGGACTATGGTCGCAGGGGACATAAGCTCAAGTGGCATAGCATACTACACAAAAACACTGTTCCACATCCTACTTTGGTGAGTAGTGACTGGGATATTAAAAGCTTACAAGAGGCCATCTAGATGCAACAATGAGTCTCTCCTCATCCAGAGCAAAGAAGAATGAAGAAAACCAAAGACACATGGAAACAATTAGTCTAAGCGACTGGTACACCATGTGAACCCCAGCCTGTACAACTATGAGACCAGGAACTAGATGGTGTCTGGGTATCACTCTCAACCACTCAGAGGGGGATCTATGTAGGAGATACTGGATAGAGTGGGAGAACAATGTGGAACAAAACTCAAGATCATTTAAAAAAAAAAAAAGGGATCAGGTTTCTGGTCTGATAGAGCCTGGTGGAACCACTGAGACTATGGCCCCTAGCTGCCCTTCAGGTCTGGAATTGAACCCACGCCTGTGACTTCTAGCCAAACAAAAGACAGGCATATGAGCTGAACATTTACATTAGATAGATGCATTCCTTGGAGAGATCAATCATGGGAGAAAGAAGGGCTGGGTATACATAGGGAGACAGCTTGGGGGGCAAGAGTGTATGGAAGGGAAGGACACAGGGAAGAAGTGGTTATGGGGAGGGGGTAGGAGAAGAGCTGGTGCACTATGGGAGATTGCAGTTGGTGTCATGAGACAACGTATGTGTGAATTGCTGTATGATTTGCTCTATAAACTTTCACCCAAATTACAATAAAAAAAAACTATACACCAAAGAGTGAATTTTACTGCATATTAAATTAAAAAAATTAAATGTCTTGAAAAATCGATCAGTAACTAAGTAAATTTGTTGATGCATTGAAGAGCATCTTATTCAGATGCAGAAAACACCATTTATTACTATTAGTTATAGACAGATGCTTAGAGGAACAGTTTACCGGTGCTGGGACTGCAGTCTTTCCAGTGGTTCAGCCTTCCGTTGAAGTCCTTCCTGAAATATCACATCTGCTTTCTTAAAGTTTTCTCTAGCTTCATATTCTTCAGCCCATGAGATATAGAACTGAGCAAGTGAAATGCCAATTCCTTGGTTGTGTAAATAATTGTACATATCCAAAGGTTCATTGCATAAATGTCCCTGTTACAAATTTAAAATGTTAGTAGTTAATTAGTTTCAATTCACTTACTGAATGCCTATTAGGTGTCAAACAATCACTGGTTATACTATACGTGGTTCCTGCATTGAAGAAAAAATAATATAATGAAATAAAGACTATACTTGTTGTTGTTGTTTGCCGTGGAGTCAGATCCGACTCATAGCGACCCCTCCTTGGGTTTCCGAGGCAGTATCACTACGGAAGTAGATTGCCCCATCTTCCTTCCGAGGAGTGGCTGGTGGACTTGAACCGCCAGCCTTCTGGTTAGCAGTCAAGAGCCATAGCCACTATGCTACCACAGCTCCCAAAGACTATACTAAGAGGACGTAAAAAAAGAGACAAAAGCGAGGGATTAAAAGGAGATGTGGAGGAAAGGCTTCAAGAAGTGTTGACATTTGAGTTGGCCTGGAAGAAGAAACAGATTTTCATCAGGTGGAGAATGGGAAGGAAGGGGCATTGTGGGCAGAGAAAATAGCATAAGCAAAGACAGAGGAGACTGAAAGTACACACAGGTACAGGCAAGATATAAGCCTGCAGAAAAAGGTGTGACAGGTCTTCAATGTCAAGCTAACAATTTTGAATTTACCTGATACTCCACGTATGTGTGTTGAAGTAAGAAAGCTGTTAAGCAAAGGAATGAACAGAGAAATCTGTTGGCGTGTTACTCTCCTTCCTCCCCTGAGGATAATTCTGTCCTGTCCAGTTAAAATACTTGAATCACCTATAGAGAGAGGCTCTTCCCCAAACAAAGGTACTGCTGCCATGTGATGCTGCCTACATCTCCTGTTCACTACAGCTGTATGAACCAATTATATTTAAAATAAATAAATAAGTCATGGCCCATGGTGAGATATATAAACCTTGTGATCAATTTTAAAGGGGTAAAATATGTTATATATTTAATTCAATCTTTAAAGTAGAACCAATTTAACAAATACTGAGTATTTACTAAATGTTTAATATCTACTAAATGGCTCGGGTTTTCCCATTCTTTATTGTACCAGATGCCTCCAGAGAAAATATCTTGCTTTAATATTTTAAACTCAGATGGAAGTTAAGACTCACCAATTTAAGCCAAAGATTGAGAAATCGAGGATCACTATAATACCGTTTTTCTCCTTGTAGTGCTTCTACAGCTCTCTCTAGTAATGTTGACATGTTACTCTCCTTCCCTCCTTGAGGATAGTTCTGCTCTGTCCAGTTAATATATCTGAATGGGAAGAAAAGGAAAAGAATATTTTTTAATTGAACATATACTTTTTATTCTTGCTTTAAGACCCATTCTGGATTTTCTAATATATTGAAAACAGAAATATCTAATATATTAAAACCATGTTTATTTAGTTACCTGCAAAGACATACTCTACACCTATATCTCTCAAACTTTTCCAAAGCATTTTTAATATATGCTTCTGGGAAATACTAAGGATGGGAGTGAAAGGGTATAGGTCAAAATTGAACACCACAAACTAGAAATTTCTTCATTCATGAACACCTCAGGAAGATACACCATGATTATTCTGGCTCTCTTTGTCTCCAAGACACCACTTATTATTTTGACACACTGCTCCATACAGAACTAAGATTGTAAGGACTCATGTTAAGTTTCTTTTGCCTTTATTAAGTAAAAAGACTCACCTATCCCAGACATCCAGAGGGTCATTTCCAGTGTAAAATCGAATTTCAGATTCAAATGCCCTGAAAATTAAACAGATAATGTTAGCATATGCAATACAGCCAAAAACCAGATGAACAAAGACCACCTCCACTTCAATTCATTTATTAAGTGCAGCCAGAATGCTCTTTTGAAGTGAGAATTCCCAGACTCTGTCTCACCTCTTTGCTCATGTTGTCAGAAGGGATCAATCTCTGGAAAAGAATATCATGCTTGGTAAAGTGAAAAAAGGAAAAACCTTAAATTAGATGGCTACAATGATGGGCTCAAGCATAATAAGGATTGTGAACATGGCATAGGACAGGGCAGTGTCTCATTCTGTTGTATACAGGGTTAAGTTGGAGCTAACTCGACAGCACCTAACAACAACAACATAATCTAGGATAACTACACTAGAGTTTGAGAGTTTATAAAACAAGAAGAATAGAAATAATTAGGATTCTGTCTTTGAGTAACTAGATAAAACCACAGGGGGGACATGTAGAAATTAGATAAAGGAATTTGAAGACCCTATATAGAAAAACAGTATTACGCAGCAGTTAAAAGCTCTGAAAAAAAGATTCCTTATGTTCAGAGCCCAGCTCTACCAATCACTACCAGAGGGACACTGGATAAGCTACTTAAACTCTATTTTAAGTTTCCTCATCTGTAAAATGGGGATAAGAATAGTACCTATCTCATTAGATTGATTAGTGTTAAATATAAAGTGCTTACAACAGTGCCTAATACATTGTAAGTACTCAATAAATAACAATTATTATTTTACATCTACATGATCCTGTTGGATAAACTACACATACACAAAAATACATAGAAATATTTAAAATATTAAAGAAAAATATGGGTAAGATTAGTCAAATAGTAAGATCATATATAATTTATGGAATGCCTTAAAGAAAGTGTGAAATAGGACTTTGCAAAGAGTCAAGGAAAGGCAAAGGGCTAAGATAAAGGTAAGACTGAATAGTTAGAATAGAAAGGAAGTATCAGGTAATAAGCCACAATTTGAATAAATGTACAATCAATACAAACTACATTAAGAGGCTATGTTTGATATAAAAAAATTAAAATAGTCCCTGACATAAAGAATTCTATATTCTAGTAAGAGAAGATAAAAAAATGAAAATTTAACCAACAATACAAAGCAGTATAAAATATTACAATTGCCTAGAATGGATAGTGTGGTGGTTAAATTTGTACGTCAACTTGGCTGGGCCTGGTTGAGTGGCTGGGCAGCTGGATGTAGAACTCCCCATGATGAGACTAGTAATCAACTCCATGGTGGAATCTACTGTGAGCAGCTGTGTACCTGCCTTAGGGATATGGTCTGCTTCCTGTATATAAGGAGAAGACTTGGGGAATGGTCTCTAGCTTGTGGCACCATTGAACCCTGTGTGTAGTCATGTCATTGTTCAGCAGCCTGTCAAGCTCTGCCGACCTTGGGACTTTCAGTGGACTTGAATTAATGGCCTGCTGTGTGGTCTGATAACATTGGGACTGTGCCTTTTTACTTGTCAACCTTGGGCTTGTCAGTCTCAGCAGCCAGTAGGTGCCTGTGATAGTTGGAGCTGTGTGTCAACTTGGCTGGATCCCAGTTCTGTGTGGTTGTTCCCATCATGGGATTGGATTGTGTTCTGAGTGGCCAATCTGCCCAAGGGGAGTTTCCCTAGGGGTGTGGCCTGCTTCCAGGATATCCAGGGACATCCTGGGAAGTGGGACATTCCTCTGTGGATCGGGATTCTGTGGTGCTACCTGCAACTGTTTGTGAGTGAGCAGCCCACCATTCGGCCTGGAGATCTTGGATTTGTCATTCATTGGAGTCAACAGCTGGTGTACTGCCTGCCAGCCTTGAGCTTCTCGGCCCCCTGTGGGGAAAAGCCTCCAGCCTGACTTTTGCTTCAAGGACTCTGGACTTGGCCAGCTTCTATATGTTTGTGAGCCATTTTCCTAAGATAAATTTCTCTCTCTCTTTATACATAAGCTTTGCTGGTTTTTGTTTCTCTAGAGAACCCAGTCTAACACAGTGCCTGAGTGAAGAAAAGCTGCTAGCTCCAGTGAGGCAGGAGCAGGAGCAGGAGCCATAGCTGAACCCCAAGGTTGTGAGGCTTTCACCCAGGCCCTAGAACCTGGCACTTTGAACTCAGACTTCTAGCCTCCTGAACTATAAGAGAATAAATTCCTGTTTGTTAAAGCCATCTCATTTGTGGTATATTCCTGTCAGAGCAGCACTACATAACCAGAACAGCAGTACTAGGTAACTAAGACAGAATGCTTTAAATGCAAATATAAAGACTCAGCAATTCCATTCCTGGTATTTATCCAAGAACGATGAAAATATTAAAAAAAAAAAAAAAAAAAAAACTGCCGTCGAGTCAAATCCGACTCAAAGTGACCCCTCCTTGGGTTTCTGAGGCAGTATCACTACGGAAATAGATTGCCCAACCTTTCTTCCAAGGAGTGGTTGGTGGGTTTGAACCGCCAGCCTTCTGGTTAGCAGTCAAATACCTTAGGCACTGCCACCAGAGCTCCAAATGAAAATATATGTCCACAAAAAAGTCTTTGTAGGACTTGTCCATACTTGCACTAGGAGACCATGTGATCCATAGCTTACGTGACTATGAAACCAGAAGAACTAGATGGTGCCCGAGTACCTGTCAACCACTCAGAAGGGGATCGGTGAAGGGGATCCTGGATAGAGTGGGAGAACTATGTGGAACAAAACTCAAAATCAGAAAAAAAGACCAAGTTTGCTGGTCTGATAGAACCTGGTGAGATGCCTGAGGCTATGGCCCCTAGTTACCCTTCAGGTCTAGAAAAACTCACTCCTGTGGTTTCCAGCCAAACAATAGACAGGCATATGGGGTGAACTTTTACATAATCCCTCCTTAGAGGGATTCATTCTGGGAGAACAGAAGGATAGTGTTTACACAGGAAGATAGTTCAGAGGTGGGAGTGCATGGGAGAGAATTAGGGAAGAGGTAATTACAGGGAAGAAGTAGGAGTAAAGTCGTTACACTGTGGGTAGTTGCAGTCAATGTCATGACACAAAATGTGTATGAACTGCTGTATGGAAGACGAATTTGCTCTGTAAACTTTCACCCAAATCACAATTAAAAAAAAAAAAAAGAATATCCATACTTAAGATGGAACATTGTGAAAATGTCACTACTACCCAAAGCAATCTATATATTCAATGCAATCACAATCCAGATCCCATCAACATTCTTTAAGGATGTGGAAAAAAAACATCATTAATTTTATATGGGAGAGCTTTGGTAGCGAGTGTCTGAGGCACTTGACTGCTAATCAGAAGGCTGGTGGTTCAAACCCACCAGCCACTCCTTGGAAGGAAGGCTGGACAATCTACTTCCGTAGTGATACTGCCTCAGAAACCCAAGGAGGGGTCACATAACAACAACAACAACAATTTTATATGGAAAGGAAAGAGACTTCAGATAAGCAAAGCACTACCGAAAAAGAAAAACAAAGTAGGAGGTCTAACACTCCCAGCTCTCAAAATCTACTATACAGCCATAGTCGTCAAAACACCCTAGTATTGGTACAACGACAGACACATAGACCAGTGGAACAGAACTGAGAACCCAGAAATAGATGTATCGACCGATGGTCAGTTGATCTTTGACAAAGGGCCAAAATCCATTAAATGGGGAAGAGATCGCCTGTTTAACAAATGGTGCTAGCAAAACTGGGTATCTATTTGCAGAAAAATGAAACAAGATCTGTATCTCACACCATCCACAAAAACTAACTCCAGATGGATCAAAGACTTAAATGTGAAACCTAAAACTATAAACACCCTCAAGGAAAAAGCAGGGGCAAATTTACGGGGCTTCAATAGACAGTCATAAATAGACTGTCAAGCATAACCCAAAATGCACAAACAGCAGAAGATAAACTAGATGGAAAGGAACTTCTAAAAATTAAATTTTTATGTGCTTCAAAAGACTTCCCCAAGAGTCAAAAGAGAACCTACAGATTGAGAAAAAATACTCAGCAACAACATATCTGACGAGGAACTTATCTCTAAACTTTATAGAAAACTCCAACACCTAAACAACAAGGAAACAAATAATCCAATTAAAAAGTGAGCAGAAGACATGAATAGGCACTTCACCAAAGAGGATATTCAGGCAGCCAACAAATACATGAGGAAATCTTCACCATCATTATAGAGATGCAAATCAAAACAACGAGATACCATCTTGCCCCAACACTAATAGCAAAGTTCAACAAGACAGAAAATAACAAATGCTAGTGAGGATGTGGAGAGATTGGGACTCTCATACACTGCTAGTGGGATTATAAAATGATACAACCACTGTGGAAAGCAGTATGGCAATACCTTAAAAAGCTGGAATTACAAATACCATTTGATCCAGGAATCCCATTACTAGGAGCTGTTCTTGTTAGGTACGGTTGAGTCATCTCCGACTCACAGCGACCCTATGCACAGCAGAATGAACCACCACCCAGTCCTGTGCCAGCTCCGCGATCCTTGCTATCTGTGGTAATTATGTTTGTGTGTCAACTTGGCTAGGCATGGTTGAGTGGCTGGGCAGCTGGTGGTAGTTATTCCCCATGATAAGAATGGCAATCAACTCCATGGTGGGATCTACCACAAGCAGCTGAGTAGCGCCTTTGGGATGTGGTCTGCTTCCTGTAAATAAGGAGAAGCCTTGGGAATGGTCTCCAGCTTATGGCATGCTTGAACCCTGCATGTAGCTGTGTCATTGTTCAGCAGCCTGCTATGCTCTGCCAACCTTGGGACTTACAATGGACTTAAGTTAATGGGCTGCCGTGTGGTTTGGTAATACCGGTACTGTGCCTTTTTACTTGTCAACCCTGGGGCTTCTCAGCCTCAGCAGCCAGCAGCTGTCTGAGTGAAGAAACGCCTCTAGCTCCAGTGGGCCAGGAGCAGGAGGCAGAGCTGGACCCCAAGGTTGAGGAGCTTTTACCCAGCCCCTAGAGCCTGGCACTTTGAACTTGGACTTAAAGCCTCCAA